CACTGTGGGAACTAACTTCGAGCGGAAACAGAAAGTTTTCATAGCTGCCAGCGATTCTGGCGTGTTAATTTATTTACAGGAAATAAGATAGTCGATGCTTCCTTTTAAATCTTAACTGAACTGTGCGTCTCGTGAGTTGGCAGTCGGATTCTATTGGTTATCAAGTTATTGGGTATCAAGTTTTAGATGTAACTCACTAGTAGGTGCAAATTTTGGTAGTTACTATAGCTACTGAATAATTCAGTGAATTATCAAATCCTCTAATTTTATAAATTTATAATTCTTTAATTATTAAATTACCTAGTTTTCGAATTCCTTAGCTTCGAAGTAGAGAAGTTCTCCAATTTTTCAGTTCTCAAATCCCCAAATTCTCACGTTTCCAAATTCTAAAATTCCCAAATTCTCGAATCTCCAAATTCTCACATCCCATATCCCCAAATTTCTACGTCCCCAAATTCCTACACCCCCAAATTCCTACGTTCCCAAATTTCTACACCCCCAAATTCCCACGTCCCCAAATTTCCACATTCCCAAATTCCCACGTCCCCAAATTTTCACATTGCCAAATCCCTATATCCCCAAATTTCTACGTCCCCAAATTCCTACACCCCCAAATTCCTACGTCCCCAAATTCCTACACCCCCAAATTCCCACGTCCCCAAATTTCTACACCTCCAAATTCCCATGTCCCCAAATTTCCACGTCTCCAAATTCCTACGTCCCCAAATTTTTACTTTGCCAAATCCCTTCTTCCCCAAATTCCTACGTCCCCAAATTCCTACATCCCCAAATTCCAATCCCCCAAATTTCTACACTCCCAAATTCCTATATTCCCAAATTTGCAACCCTTTCTACCAAACTACCCAAGCTCCAAATCTCCCACAATCCCCCACAATCCCCCACAATCCCCCACAATCCCCCATCACCCAATTCCACACCCAATATCCAAAAGTTCCATCACCCATCACCCAATATCCAAAAGTTCCACACTTCCAAATTTCATCGAACCTTGTTCATCATCAAAGTACCTCGTTAACGATACCCATATCGTTACGACATCTACAAAATCCTAAGCTCGGTCCAGTCTCCATGATCCTCCCTCAACACGCAACTAATGTGACCCAAATTTATTCCAAGAGTGGATTTGCAAGTGGCTCCGCAGAAAAATGAAAGAATGCTAGCCACGTTGGAGGATCGCATCGGTTTGAAACCGGTTCGTAAAGTCTCTTTGTACGACTCGTTCTTGACAGGACACGTAAGTATACGCGAGGAAGTGAAAGCAACGTTCACGGGACAATACGACCGTGGACTATTCCCTTCTCTTAATTCTCGGTTAAAATATCCGCGTACTGACGAATCATCGACATTCGAGCGGGAAAAACACGAGCAGCCATTGCGTAATGAGACACGGAGTTTCGTTACGATCTTGAACCACTTGTATACTGATCGATATTTTATTCGCAGTTGCTGGGGGTGAGATCAAGTTCATTTAAGGTTTACTGTAGGAGAAGTCTCATGATCAAGAGAAATTCTTTTATTAGGTTAGATTAGATTAGGAGGAAATTTTTGATACGAATTTTTGATACGAGTTCAATGTTGATTATAATGAATTTATCTTGAAGAGGAATTCCTTCAGAAACTTGTTAAGTATTCAAACCTTGAAGGATATAGATTTTCTAGTTTTTAAAATTAAATTTTTCATTTTTCAATTTCTAAAATGTTATCAAGTTTCCAAACTTCCAAGTTTAGAATTTTATACTGACTCATAAGTTTCAAATTTCTGAAGTCTTCAATTTCCATAGATATAATTTTAGAAATGCATAAATTCTCAGTTACCAAAATTAAAAATTTCCAAAAGTAAAAATTATTGTCACATTACTGTCCCAAACTTACAACTTGTAACTCCATAAGTTTCCAAGTTTCAAAGATTAAAATCCTCAGATTCCCATATTTCTAAATCCTCCAAAATTTTCCAAGCCTCCCAACAAAAATTTTCCACCCTCCAAGATTCCAAGCTTCCCAGCCTACCATCTAACAATTCAATAAAACTTATTAATAAAAGGTAAGATAAGATGTAACCAGACCCTAATTATTTCTATCCACTGTAAGAAATAAAATGTAAATAACGTGGTAGCAAGGGGAATCGTTCAATTACCATACATAATGGCAAAGTTGAAAATTTCGCAAAGGGAAGGAGATTGAAAATCTACGAGCGCAAGGCCCTGGCTATTGTGCGTAATGCAATAGTGTAACGCAATACGCTAATGCTTGAATAAGAACTTATTCATTTACATAAGTTGCTCCACGGTATCTTGTAATCAAGGTTCCCCCTTTATTTCTAATTTGCAATGCGACTCGCAATCCCATCTATATTTAAATCGAAATATTGCTCGCGGTCATACGCGATGCTAACTTTAGCTGCATGCAAACGGCTGTATTCCTGTTTGTGTTTACAAACGGGATGCAAATTTCTTGAATTTCATAAATTCGCTATTGCTACGCCCGACTATAATCAGACTGGTAATTGATAGTCTTGTATCAATACCGGTATCTTAGGATGTTTTTATTATGGATCTTGGAATGAGATTGTGGCGAATTTAATTCAATGTGATGCAACTTAGTTGCTATTTAGTTTTATTGGTTGGTGTATTTATGGAAATGGGTGTTGATGCTTCTGCGGTTCTTTATTTTGTGTGGGAAATTAATTTAGTGTTGTAAGGAAGGTATTATGTTATTAAATGTGGAGGAGCAAGATGGGAATATGTATGATATAATTGTTTATTATTTATTATATTATGTAATGAACATATGTGACATACATGTGTTGCATACTTTATTATACATGTATGTATGATATAATTTTATTATACATATATAATATGAACTATATATTTTATTATACATATATGACATATATTGCATATTTTATTATACATATGTGACATATATTGCATATTTTATTATACATACATGACACATATTGCATATTTTATTATACATATGTGACATATACTGCATACATTATTACACATATGTATATGACAACAAATAATAATAGCAAATAATCAAACAAAAAAGAAATAAGTTAACATGAGAAGTCTACCTCATATTTCTAACCTAAACCTAACCTAGAACTACTTATACCTTTAAATCACAGAGAATAATTAAATCAGAATACGTATTATTTAATGGTTAATGATTATGATACATGTAAGTCGTAATCACGTACATGAGAAAGAAAGTAATAGAAATGTGATACTTTGGGAATACAATGATATACTATTACCGTTACGTATCTCTTTAGATGTAAAGTAGATCGCACTAATCATAGAAGAATGGGTGGAAAACAATTACCGCAGGAAAAAGTAATTACAGTCATTATTTTGGAACACCTAATAACTTTCAATTAACACTGTTGTAGATTTTGCACGTACAAGTAATTATAAAATTAATTTTGTACATTTTTTTTCTCTTTTAGTTTTTCTTTGAGAAATGTAAACCTTCAGTGAAAACATTAATAAGACGTCAAGTGCACCGAAGTTTGAAAGCTTTCCCGCTTTACACGAATTAAGATAAAAGTTTGGAAAGTGAGGATAATCACGAATGCCTAACGGAATAACGTTACCCGGTTACGAATCGCGGATTGTGAAAGAAAAAAGCCATGGAATTCCGTTTGGTTCTTGATGTTCACGTACGTGACATTTGTAGCAAAACTCGTATGTTATACGCGAAATGTTGTATAACACTGTAATCGGCGAATAAGAAACCATTGACTTTCTGTACTGAAATTGGAAGAAAAGCACCCTCAGTTTCATTCAGATACTTGTAATTAAGAATTGAAATATTATTATGTGTATCTGGCTATCTATCTTTCTATCTACCTATCTATCTTTTTATCTATTTATCTATCTATTTATCTATCTATACATCTATCTATCTATCAATCAATCTGTCCATCTGTAGCTAAAACAGTGAAAACTCTACGTTACAAATTAATCTCCATCCATTAAAGTTGAAGAAAAACCCCGTCTCCCGGAATAACCTTTCCTCGAAGACCGTTCCTGATAAATGTCACGTTGCAATTAAAACTGTTCACGACATTAGACAAACCGTGTTGACCTAATTGGTTACAGTCGAAATGTCAGTGGTCCTTCAACTATACAACTGGTTCAACCTGTAACACGTTTAAATGACTAAAAAGGTACAGTTCGTGAATAGGCCACTTGTTTAACAGCAAACAGGTTAATGTTATTATAAACCATGAGACATTACTGGGTAACTGTGCAAATTCTGAATCATTGCCTTTCTAAGTTCCTAATATAATGTAGTATAATGTAGTTCCAAGTATAAAGTAGTTTTTGAAATATATTAGATGTGACAGAATATTCCCTGTCGCTATAATATTGTACCCTGGACGAATAAACCATCTACAATTATTCTAACACATTCTCCTCACGATTCCCTCTCATGACACCCGGATGTAATGAATCTGTATTAGGAAAGACATTCCAGGACACTTCTGTTACTCGCCACCGAGTACTCAATATTTAATCATGCTTTAAAACTGTATTAATAACTGCAGTTACTGACCTAATAACAAAGCTACAGGAATCAAAGAAACATTCGTACATCCATCTTTATTTTATCATAAAACGTAAAAATGTATAGCTCCTTCAAAAATTAACCTCAAAGTAGATTAACCTCAAAATAACGTTTCGGAAACAGTCACGAAACTTTACTGTATGAAATGATCAAATTTCATATAACAAAAAGAACAGAAATTTTGTGAACTTTTTATTAATTCGCTTTCTTGTCTGTTTGGTACAAATTATTCAAAACAATGAATAAATGATACTTCTTTTGAGACAACCTGTATAAAACGTAATTATTTTGAGAACTTCCTTATTCAATTCCTTGAGAAAGGAAGAGAAATTGTGTTATATCTAGTTTGTTTAATTGTACGTGATTCTTGAATAATACTATTAATTTTGAAATTACAGAGGGTAAAGTGGAGGTGTCACGCGATGACAAATACTTGAGCACTCTGGCACCAGGAAAGGTACTAGGCGAGCTAGCAATTCTCTACAACTGCAAGAGAACAGCAACCATAACAGCTGCTACCGATTGCCAACTATGGGCCATCGACCGACAATGCTTCCAAACAATTATGATGAGAACCGGCCTCTCGAGGCAGGCCGAGTACACGGACTTCTTGAAGAGGTAAAGCAACTGTTACAAACATAGGACATACTATATTTCTCACGCCAAATTGCTACATAAATTTTTGAAAAGTAATTACAAAAGAAAATGACATTTAAAATCTTACGTCAGAACAAAGGGATAACGAGTAGATACAATAAACGTTTAAATTGATGAATAGTTCGCACATACTGGCGTCTGCATAAATAGTAGAGAAGATGAATGGCTTTACCAGCTTCTTGTTAACAATCCCTATTTTCTTCGCCCACTTCGCGAAGCACGATGAAACGAGATCCATTAATCACAATCAAAACGAATAAATCTCAATTGAACTGTTTCAGAATAAATAAATTTTACGAACTCTAATTTCATCCAATTTATTTCACCTCGTTTAGAAAAATCAGAAATAAAAATATGCTAATGTTCGACCATAAATAAAATTGTATAATATTTTGTTCCAGCGTTCCGATCTTCAAAAACTTACCCGAAGAGACTCTCATCAAGATCTCCGACGTCCTAGAGGAGGTAAACTTCATTCTGATTATTTAATATCGTTTTCCATTCGCACGTGGATCACGTGTACATGGTTTTATAGACTTTCTACAACAACGGCGATTACATAATCAGACAAGGAGCGAGGGGGGACACGTTTTTCATAATCAGCAGAGGACAAGTTCGCGTAACGATCAAGCAACCCGATACTCCGGAAGAAAAGTACATCAGGACGTTAGGGAAAGGTGATTTCTTTGGCGAAAAAGCACTGCAAGGGTAAGATTTTATCTTTGTTTAATTTATTCCTTGTTTTAACTACCGATGTTATCTGTTTTGACGCGTTGAAACACTTCGCGTTTATAAAACTGAGGTGCACGTCTGAGGTTTACGTCTGAGGTGTAATGGCGGTCTGGGACCAAAATGGCGATACGGGAGAAAGAAATTTTATCGCTTGCTAGGTTTTGATTAGTGGGTTTTCAGATTTATTTACTTTTAAGGCAATAATTTTAGATATTTAAAAATTTGGGAATTTAGAGTTTGAGGATTTTATAATTTGAGGATGAGAATGCTCATTAAAAGACATTAAAATAAATATTTTTTACAGAGACGACCTGAGGACGGCCAACATAATCGCCGACGATCCAGAAGGAGTGAGTTGCTTGGTGATAGATCGCGAAACGTTTAACCAATTAATCTCGTCGCTGGACGAAATTCGTACGCGATACAAAGACGAGCTCGTCGAACGTCGAAGGTGAGCAACCGCTTTAACGCATCATAATTCTTGTTGAGTTGGTAACAGCGTGATTACTAATAACCGCGTTAACTTTCATCAACGCTAATTATACGCGACCGTAACCGTGCACGAATCGTTTGCTAAATCCTCGTGTGTGTTATGTTTCACGCTTACCACTAGGATGGGAGAGTAAAGCGTATATGCTGGCTCAAAGTAAGTTTCGTGTTACGGTACCATCGTGATAATGATTCGGCACTTGTGTTGCTTTTTTTCTTATACCTTTACTGAAATATGGGACGTGTTCGAAAGAATGAACTTAGGAAATTATCATAGAATTTAAGATTTTAGAACTTTTTAAATTTTCAATCTCAGAAATGATAATTTTATCTACACTCTGTACCTTGCACCGAGTTCCACAAGACTCTGCTCAAGTTACAGAATATCTGTTTAGCAATTGTAATGAATAAACCATCCAACAAATTCATTGAAATAATTTCTGAGCAGGTTGAACGAGGAATTCAGAGACTTAAGGCTGCAAGATCTTCGACCGCTGGCCACCCTGGGCGTGGGTGGTTTCGGAAGAGTCGAATTAGTTCAAATAGCCGGCGACGGTACGAGATCCTTCGCCCTGAAGCAGATGAAGAAGGCACAGATCGTAGAAACGCGACAGCAACAACATATCATGTCCGAAAAGAGAATAATGGGCGAGGCTGATTGCGACTTCATCGTAAAGCTGTTCAAGACCTTCAAAGACCGGAAATACCTCTACATGTTGATGGAAGCTTGCCTTGGTGGTGAACTGTGGACCGTGCTCAGGGACAAAGGACATTTTGATGATGGCACGACGCGGTTTTACACCGCCTGTGTTGTGGAGGCGTTCGATTATCTTCATTCGAGGAACATCATTTACAGGGATCTCAAACCGGAGAATCTGTTGCTTGATAGCCAAGGGTAAGATAATTAATGCATGTAAGATAATGCATATACAAAGTCCCTTCTTTTATTTGCACTTCATTGTACTTTATTAATACTTATTTTAAATGTACATGCTAACACTGTTTGGTATATTTCTTGAAATAGTTGTGTAAGTACCTTCTGTAATTTCTTATGCCTCTGGAGTAATTTAGAGTTAGGGTTGATTTATAAAAAATTGCAGATTTATTAAAATTTGATATAATATGTAGAAAGTGTACTGAACGTTAATACGTTTTTCAGATACGTTAAACTGGTCGATTTCGGATTTGCCAAGCGTTTGGATCACGGAAGGAAGACGTGGACCTTCTGTGGAACACCGGAATATGTCGCACCGGAAATTATCTTAAATAAGGGACACGATATCAGTGCTGACTACTGGTCCTTAGGTGTTCTCATGTTCGAACTGCTTACGGGCACGCCACCCTTCACTGGAGGCGATCCAATGAAGACTTACAATATTATTCTGAAGGGAATTGACGCCATTGAGTTCCCACGATCCATCACGCGAAATGCGACTGCGTTAATCAAAAAGCTTTGCAGGTATTAGTCATGTTAAACCAAAATGATTATAAACTTCTAATCAATTTATCTGATAACTGAGAGTAATTTTTACATTGTCAATTTGTTTGTTTCAAGGGACAATGCAGCGGAGCGTCTTGGTTACCAAAAGGGTGGAATTAGCGAAATACAAAAGCACAAGTAAGTATGAGTGATTTATTTAAATGAAGTGTTTTATGAGTTATTGTATTTATGAATTATTTTGCATAGATGGTTCGATGGTTTCAACTGGGAAGGTCTAAGAGCAAGGACCTTAGAGCCTCCGATCATGCCAAGAGTGCAAAACCCTACAGACACAGCGAACTTCGACGAGTACCCTCCAGATTCCGACCCACCACCACCCGACGATGTCTCAGGATGGGACAATGACTTCTAATCGCTTGAATCATTTATTTAAAACAGATATCGTTATTTTTGGACAAAATATCGAGTCTCAATTCATGTTCGAATGATCGTGAGACGATCGAGAAATCGTTAAGGTGACCTATTTGCATTTATTCAACGAAACTAACACTGTACAATGTATAGACGATTATCTAGTAACATCATTTAAAAATGATACTGGCCTGAGAAGAGAACGTAGGTCATCGTAGGTCAAGTTTTCAACGACTTCCGATGTCTGTTACACGATCTAAGGATCCAAACGATCCGTCGATAAGAGGACCAGAGGTTGGCCTTACAATTTCATCATCAGAAACACGAATTGTCCAGACGCCGCCTCGGAACACGTGATCAACGTAAATTGAACGCGCGTTTGATTTAGAGAAATATTTAGACGCATTCGGCGAAAATGATAATCGAACGCGGCATTGTAAGACGCGAACGAATGCGTCAAGTGCCATACCTGACAAAGGTAAAGTCGACTACCGTTATGTGTGTACAGAAATCATCCACGAGAACGTGCACGAAAATGTAGTCAGCTCAATCGTAATGGACGTCTTGCCATCGAACTCGTCAACTCGTGCACGCGATATCGCGGGAAGAACCCACGGATTCTTAGCGTCCGATTTTATTGTTGTTTGATCCACTTTATAGTTTATTGTAATAATTCTATTTTAATTAATTATGCGAAAATGTGACCCTTGTAAATAATTCATTATAAATAAGTAAATAAATAAATGCACGTGTATGCACATTTATTTATTTAATTATTTATATACTTAAAGCCCAATGTATATCGATATTAAATAAAGTTTTATTAATACTAATGCTTAGTAATAAATTATTGTTATTTGGTACATCCATTCATACATTACCCAAACGTTTTGTTAATTTTGTATAAAGTAGCGGATCTTTATGTACCCTGTAATCATAAAAATATAAAGGATTGCATACAAGGATGAAAATTAATTTATTTTGTATAGCATTAAACAAATTTATTCTTACAAATGTACATGAATTAAATAAATATATTACAATTGAACTTCCTGATAATAAATATAAGCTTCTTTCAATATATTCTGCATTTGCATATGCAACAGTTTTAAATACAAATCAGAATCTTAAATATAAAATTTGTTATAAAACTGAACATATAAAGATAATGTAATCTTATAAATCGGTGTAAGTGAAGTTCAAATTACCGCCACATCCAGTACTACCAATAACAAAAAGTTCCCAAAAGGTGATCACTAAAATGTTTCCTATTGTATACTGATATAAATTATATACAATTATTAGTAAAATATATAATATATCGTCAAATGAACTCAACTTTTGTTTTGCATTTATTATTTTTCATTTAAATGTATAATTTTGTATTAAAATAAATATTACTTTGTTGTTTACTATTGTATAGGGACATTTTGTAATTGGCTATGAATTCCTCTCTTTCTACTGAAACACAACAAAAAAGCGGCGGTAATTCTGTAAATTCACGTGTAGGCATGGTACATTGTATGTAACAGACAGTATTATAAAGTGTTCCTAATAAAATTACAGACAAGTGTCTAGTCACTTATTCCTGAAGTAGAACTTTTGTATACAAACTGAGGTATGTAAAATATAAACTGATTCTTGTTTAAATTTTGTATTTATAGGTATCATAACAATATGGTCATAATAAATAATTTCAACAATATGAGGGAGGTACTGGATTCTTGTATTAATAGATAACCTATATCTTTATATACTTAATTTTTAGAAAATACTTTAGTCTACGTTGTTACTAATTACTCTCTAACGGATATTATTACATATTTAAATATTTTATTTGAATTTAAGAAAATTTTTTGTAAAACAAAATGAAAACAAAATAATGCACTTAAAAGATATTTTATTTTTGTAAACAAGCATAGAATGTTCAAGTTTTGTTGACCTCTAATTTTTTTTCTGTGAAATGTTTCTTCATGAAATGTTTTTACCATTTTACGAATGTATTATCTAATTTCTTTTTAATTAAAAAATTTGGTAAAACAGTAACTGTTCTTAAACTATGCTTCTTAATTATTAAAAAGAAATGGATCCAGAAAAAATTGGTAAAGGACGAGGAGCTCTACTGTTAAAATTAATAAAAGAAAAAGAAAAAGCTGAAAAAGATGAAACGGCACCATCTATGCCAACTACTTCTGGAATACATAGTCAAACACAATCAAATGTTCCATCTACTGTTGGAGTGCCTATGAGTTCAGCAAGCCCTTCTACTGTAGGCCATGATAGAAGTAGTTTATTAAATGTGTTAAAAAGAATAAAACCTACAGAAGAACCAACCCCTACACCAAGACCACTAAATCTCGGCAGAGGATCCTTGCTAAGTCGACTTAAATCTGCTCAGTATGTATTTTAAAATATACTCTTTAGTAGTTCCAGTGTTAATAATTAAAAGTACTTACCATGTTCCATAATTGGAATGACTAAAAAACCAAAGGTATTTATACATATAAACCATAATAAAACATATATTTTTAGTTCTGTTGAACAATCCCAACAACCAACAGTTCCTGTACCACCTGTTGTCGATGAAGGGGTCTTAGGTAAATTATCAGATATTACAATACACGATACTCCAAGCACTACTGAATCATCGTGTCCACCTCCCCAACCTATTTCTAGACAAGGAACAGGTGGTAAACCGTAAGTATTAATATCTATGATTGGTGCATACAGTGTAGAATGGATTACAAAATAATAATGAATTTTTTAGGATACAATTGAGTGCCAACTACATAGATTTTAAATTAGATCCTGAAAAGCAGTTGTATAATTATGAAGTTAAATTTAACCCTGACATAGATTCAAGGCCACTGCGAAGAAAACTTCTTAATCAACATTTAGAAACACTTGGACGAACAAGAGTGTTTGATGGAGTTACACTTTTCTTACCTTACAAGTTAAAGCAGGAAGTAAGTAATTATTGTAATAAAAATAGTATAAATAGATAAAGATAAATATATACATAACATGCAAATTTAGAAAACTATTTTCGAATCTGCACATCCCATGGATGGAACAAAAGTGTTGTTAACAATAATATACAAAAAGATACAAAGTATGTCAGAGAACATTCCATTTTTCAATGTTTTACTTGGTCGTGTTATGCGAGCCCTTTGTTTAATTCGCATTGGTCAACATAACTTCAATCCAAAGGGGATACATTCTATACCCATGCATAAACTAGAAGTATGGCCAGGTTATGTCACGACCATAAATGAATACGAAGGTGGATTAAAATTATGTATAGATGCCCGCCATCGTGTAATGCGTACAGAAACAGTACGCGATATGATGTAAGGTTTACAATACATTTTATTAAACATTTACATTATAAAATTAATTCAATGTTATTACAAAATAATATGATATAGGATTACATTTGGAAACAAACCAAATTTTAAGGATGCTATTACCAAAGAATTAATTGGTATGTCTGTATTTACAAGATATAATAATAAGACTTATCGTATTGATGATATTGCATGGGACAAAAATCCAACATATGAATTTGAAAAAGGGAATGAAAAAATATCCCTGTTAAATTATTATAAGTTACACTGGAATTTAGAGATAAAGGATTCAAAGCAACCACTTTTAGTTCATTGTGCTAAAACTAAATTGCCTACTGGTGGAGTGAGTAATGTTATTCTATTAATACAGGTACATTAACATAAAACATGAGCATCAATTATTTTTACTATGCAAATTTTAAGTACAGAAACAAGAACAGTTGATATTGTTGGTTCCTGAATTATGTCATACAGCAAGTTTGAGTGACAGTATACGTTCAGATTTTAGAATAATGAAAGATCTTGATGCAGTAACTAAAATGTCTCCTAATGCTCGGCGCGATGTAGTTAGACATTTTGTTCAAGAAATACAAAATAATGAAATACCGCGAACGATATTGGCTGAATGGGGTTTACATTTAGACACTGATATAGTACAATTTAAAGGTAGAGCACTTGAATCGGAAACTATTTACTTCGGTAACGAAGTAACATTCACACCTCCACCTCATAAGCCTGCAGAATGGAGCTCCACAGCATGCAGAACTGCTTTGTTAAGGACTGTAAGTATTTGTATACTCCATTGCATATTTAATAATGAGCACTACTCTCAACAATTAATACAATTGTATGTTTAGCCTAATTTAAATAATTGGTGCGTTCTGCACTGTCAAAAAGATTCAAGATGTGTGAACGAATTTATTTCAATGTTAAGAAATGTTACAAAAGTTATGGGCATGTGTGTTAGAGAACCACAAACAGTATGTTTAAGGGATGATAGGATTGATACTTTTGTACAAGCACTACGGAATAACATACAGCAAAATATCAATTTAATGGTTATTGTATTTCCGAGTAATCGAACAGATAGATATTCTGCAGTAAAAAGGTAATACATCATTTTAGATATTTAAAAATTGTGTACTATAAATACTTTATTTATTATTTAGAGTATGTTGCGTCGAAATGCCTATACCTTCTCAGGTAATTATGTCTCGCACTATTTCTCGCGGTGACAAGTTAAAAAGCATAACAGAAAAAATTGCATTACAAATTAATTGTAAATTGGGTGGAGCACTTTGGGCGTTATCTATACCAATGGTACGAAAGAAATATTTCTATTTACGATTTACTTCTAAAAAAACAAAATAATAAATTTCAATATATTAGGAAAATTGCATGATATGTGGAATAGATGTGTATCATGCAGGTGTTGGTCAATCAACAAAAGGTAGTGTTGCAGGCTTTGTAGCAAGTCTAGATAAATTATTAACAACTTGGCACAGTAAAGTTTGTCTACAAGGTCAACACCAAGAATTAATAGATATGTTGCAAATCTGCATGATTTCGGCAATAAAGGCTTACTATAAAGTAAGTAGTGTTAATATGTATCTTGTGCATTCATAATTTTTGTTACTACTGTATTTTTTATTGCAGCATAATAAGCGTTATCCAGATCGTATTATTGTGTACCGAGATGGCGTAGGGGATGGGCAATTGGATATAGTGGCAAAGTACGAGGTTAAACAGATGTTAGCGATATTTAAAAATATAGAACCAAGTTATCAACCGACGTTAACTGTTATAGTAGTTCAGAAGCGCATTAATACTCGGTTATTTGCAAGAACTGTAAGTTACAAATTGAATAATAATCGATTATGCATCTTAATCATATACATTTTTTTTTACAAATTTAGCAAAGAGGATTGGAAAATCCTCCACCAGGCACAATCGTAGATTCCTTTATAACAAAACCTAATCTCTACGATTTTTATTTGGTATCTCAAAACATACGGCAGGGTACAGTGTCACCGACGCATTATGTCGTTGTTTACGACAATAAAAATATGAAACCAGAGCATATACAACGATTAACATACAAACTATGTCACTTGTACTACAATTGGCCTGGTACTATAAAAGTTCCTGCTCCCTGTCAGTATGCACACAAATTAGTTTCTCTTGTTGGACAAAACATACAGTTGGAACCACACCAATCGCTTTCTAATATGCTCTACTACTTGTAAGTTATTTTTATCTATAACTGACTCATCTTACTAAAATGTGATTGACTGTATTTAGATATATATAGTCAAATGTGACACCAAACATTTTTATGAGACTTAAAATACTTGTATGTAAGATCTTTATTATTCACTTTTTTATGATTTCAAAATATTATAATTAAACCAATGAAGTTACCTTTTTGTTGTAAGATATAGATTAAACAATATTTAAGTTCGTATTATTATACTTAATTATAACATAGAAATAAATGATATATTCACAGATCTGCAATAGTAAAGAGTTTTATATGAAATTTTTGTTAAGTTACAGACTCATAGTATTATGTGAAGTATCATGTTGATTATTATAGATTTTATACATTTCCATAATTGTAAGTAATAAATTGTAACAATTTAGTACAAATATTTTGTTCTTAATTACTATATTTTTACATATAATTCAGAGTATATGTACATCACACAATTGTATACATGTTTCTTAATGATCATGTGGATGCAATATAATTTCTATGTTTTTTTATATAAATAAATACTTATATTTTTTCATAAGTACAATGATTATTTCTAATTATATGAATTTTAATTGTTATCATTGTTCGAATTATGATATTAAAGATGATAATACCTAATCTCAAAGCTATTGTTTCTAGTAATCCCCAAATCATTAAATACACAGAATATGAATCACACAGAAAAAGTTTCAGAATCGAGTACGAACTCTGGACCTTGTGCATGAATATCAAATATACCAACTACTTCGTGAAACACATACTTCACCTTAATTTACATATTATAACAGGACCAATGAATTACACGAATAACGTTCATCTTTGGCCTTTGATTTCATGCAAATTTAACCATGGCTATGTTTACTTTTCCGAGTTGTGCAACATTATGCATCACTCATTATTAGAAACTATATTTTCTCCTTAAACACTGTTCGAAACGATTAGTATGGCCGATTAGTCTAGAGGAATTTATTTATGTGCTTACGTATGTGTTTACAAACGACCCTGCCGATGAGGATCCAATACCCAGAACGACGCGAGCGAAATGCGTGTATCCATAGTCGTCCACCTTGACTTGAAAGCACGCATACGTGTTCGTGCAAGCGCATGTCTCTATATTATGACGTTCTATGTCAGTGTGAGACATTAAAGGAAGCAGTGGCGTAACAAAAATTATAATGATGAAAATTCATATCACTGCTCGGACATCATCGCAGTTATTTTCAATTGCATTTGTACTTTTTATAAATATCCTATCATTCATCGTTCTATTTATACACGAATATGATATCATTAATAGTATGAAATTATTTGTAACTACAAGAAGGAAACTATCATAAATTCGTAAGAAATCTATAACCGCAAACCGTTACGGCCCGTACGTTCACCTTCGATACAGCTGCGATGAAATTAAATCCTTGGTAACTTACATTTTTGGAAGAGGATGTAGCGTAAGTCGAACGACTTCCGAAAGGATACACCGCATTGCGGTGTTTAGTCGACACGATAGTTACGCCACTGCAAAAGAGACAACCGCATGTGTACGTAAATACGTACGTACGTATGTGTATTTACGGTCGTGGCGTATCGCGTATCGAGTCGCCGCCGTCGCCGCCATTCGAGCGGTTAGCGCCTGCGTACATCTTGTTTACAACTGCGGAGCTTACCATACACATGACCTTTACAATATGGACACGAGCGCCTATTTAGCTGTCTAGGCGTGCGACGGAAAAAAGTTCAAGATACGTGCGTGTCGTTTGTGAACATTGATGTGTACCGAAGAAACGAGGAAATTTAGTGTTCTTTAAGTTGATTATACGAAGAAAACGGTTAAAGCGCACAACTTGGTGATCACGAGTGACGCGATATTTGTCGCTCGCACGCGGGCGGAAGGGGGAAGAGAGGGATGGTGGGTACGAAAGGAGACCCGAATTTTTCACCTCGAGCAGATGTGATTGTCGTGAACAGATTTCGCGTGTATCCAATCGGGAGTTCGCGTTCAGGACGTGCCGTGCACGTTGGCGAAGTGTTGTTAACCGCATCGTGAAATCCATTCGTGTGTTTCCGCAAAGTGCTCGATATATAAGGGGTGTGGGAAGAGAAGTGCGTTCTCGCATCGACCTGGAATGCTGCCGTGTTTTGATGTGCCTACTATTGCGCATGAAAAAATCGTCCTGCCCTTGACAATAGCCTATTTACCCGAAGCAAGCCGCCTTTATACCGCGCTAACCAACGATAAGAGGGGTTCAACCACCCACCTGCGTGTGTATCGCCCGTCCCTCTCTTTTTCTCTACCTCTCTACGTATTTCCTCTAAGGGTGCGTTTAGACTAAACGAGCTAGAGCATTCGCTCGTGCTCGTTTAGTGTGAACGATCATTGAACGAACCATTCGGTCATAACAAACCGTTGAATGCGAGCGAATGTTCGTTGAGTTCAAACAAACTGTTCGAATTGTTGAATTCAAACATATAAACTTGAATCGTGTCGTGCTGAACTGTGTTTAATTGAAAATTATAAAATTCAATCACGTTGAATTGAAATTCGTGGAAAAAGCTATCTGGAATTGAATTGAATCACGACAAACAGAACACGTGGAATTGAAACTCGTGGAACTAAAATTCATTGAATTGGATTGTCCGATTTGAATCGCGTGAAATTAAATCATGTTAAATCGAAGTATATCAAATTGAATCATGGAATTGAATCACATCAAAGTGAGTCATATCGATTTGATTCAACTATCGCGGGTGTTTGCGTTAGAGCATGCGGTTCAGGGAACAATCACGGAGCGGCGAAGAATGCTCGTTCATGTTTGAATTTCACAGAAGTGGGGGAAGCACGGATATTCGCTCGCTTAGTCTAAACGCACCCTAAACGTACTCGCGAACGGCCACTAGCGCGCGCGCGTACACACATGCTTTGTATTTGTGTACACGTGAACACGCCCGCGTGTGTCTCCGTCTTTCTGTATCATCGTGTATACAAGCGTTTCTTTATACGTACCCGTGTGTGTATACGCGCCAACCATTGTGGACCACGCAGTAAATTGTGTTATTCGACGCGATAAACAGGTGCACGAGCCTTGTAACCCAGAAAAACAGTTCCCCAGGATTTCATCGTTCTCTCGATAAAGACATTCATAAATGCAAAATACGTAAATGGTTGCAAATATTGTTGACCTCAGGTTGCGAGCAATCCCCTCTGTGATCAGAGCCACGAATCGTGGCGGTTGAAATTAGACGAAACCGCGTGACAGGTGGAACCCGAACCCATCGAGAACCGCCATCGCAGAAACCTGGACAGGTATGCGATCCCTATTCTTCGTGAAACGGTCAGAAAGGATTTCCGGTTGTTCGTCGGAGGATTAAGCGGTTCCGAACTTCATAACCTCGGAAAACGTGGTCAGTCGATAGTGCACGTTTCCCTCGAACTGCATCAGGAAGGAGCGATCCATACGACGCCCTTAGTACACATTGAGTGCACATGCACCGTGGTGGCGTGTTATTGCTTATTTACCCCCGACACGTGCTTCCACCGTTAGCGTGTCTCGAGTACAACGATATCGACGACAACCTCTCCGCGATAAAAGCAGGACAAGCAGACACGTTGCGCAAAAACACAACAATTTCGGCAGTTTTTAAATATATTTGGTGGATTCGTATCATGTGCGTGAAAGTGGTCATACATGATTGGACTGTTTCGGATATTCGTTTTGTGTTTCTACGATAAAAATTTGTCGCATCGGAAGTGTTTCGGACAACGTGGGTGGGAACACACGTTCACCCACAATGAACCAACGGAATAGCGTGTTTTGATAGAAGATGCGCGTGGCAAATTGATTGTTCTGTACCATGTAAATGGTACAGGATAACGTATCATTAGAGGACCCGCAAGATTCTTCGCGACGACGGCGTTTTCGATCGTCACCGCGACGATGTCTTCGGGCAGGGGTTTAGTCTCCCCCTCGGGAGGTCCCGTTGTTCTTTGCGGGTACGTGAAAAAACTGAAAACTCAAAAGAAGAAATTCTTCGTGCTACGAGGCGAAGCGCCAGGCTACCCCCCGTGTCTCGAATATTACGATAGTAAAAAGAAGTTCGAGAACAGACAGCCACCGAAACGTAGCATCTTACTAGACAGCTGCTTCAATATCAATAAACGCGTGGACACCAAGCACAAGCACGTCATCGCGTTGTATACGAAAGACGAGTGCTTCTGTTTGATTTTGGAAAGCGAAAAAGAACTGGACGAATGGTTGAAAGCGATGCTTTTACTTCAGAGCGGAGATGTAGCCGATGGAGAGCAACCTCGGCCTATATTTGGTAATGCGCTATTACGGTTTGAATTAGAATTAGGTCGCGTATCGAAGACGAACGTTTTTACGCGTGAAAAGCTCTTGGAAATTTTAGGTAAATACCGAGTGTTTACCAAGTTCCAGAGCCAGTAAACTACCATGTTTTGGACTTTCAAACCAGTTATTTACCTGTTTTTATAAATGCGTCATTGTCTACAATTTCGTGACAAAGAATAAAGGCTGCAGGTCAAAATACGAAGTATATTTGCTTCGATAAAGCGGAAAACATTTTTCTCGGCCTTGTTTTTCTTTTGAATTGGTTCATGATACTGGTAGAGGACTTATACTTGTAATAACATCTTAAACAAAATAAAGTAATAATGTAAATAATGACCTGATGTACAGAGGACTCAAAAGCACATCAGTGTAAATCGCAAAATATGTTGACAAACATGGTTGATTGTTTAAAAAATTGATTGCACAAAAATGATAACTGTTATGAATAAATAATCACATAACAAAGAAATTATTGTTAGAAAAACAAGTTTAATGTTTTGAATTGTTATAAGTTTGTATAGAGTAACAGTTCTCATATGTTCATTTTTTAAAATTTGCTTTCAGGATTTATAGGTAAAAAGTGTAAACAAGAACCATTTGTCCTGTTTTCATGAAAGTCTGAAATTTAAGATCTTAAAGAAAGCATCTAATTCTTCTTAAAAATTTTGACTTATGTCAGAGTCTATAGAAAATTTTAACTGAGATCTTATGAACATCTGCTTTTTATTCATATAATTTAGGTTATAATATGATTTTGCTAGGTTAATTCAATCATTTTAGTTACTAGATATTATATTATTAGAAAGCAGATCATTACTAGGATTTACACTGATTCGCTCCATACATGTTACTACTTTATAGTATCTTATAAATTACACCAAGAAATATTGATATTCTCAATATAGTTTCACAGTACTATGTTATATATTATCAATTATAGTGAGATATAAATGTGTTTTATTTCAGAACATGTATGGCAAGTTACGATGCAGAAAAAAGGACTAGGTGAACGAAAGAATATTCATGGTCCATATAGGCTATGTTTAACTGATCGAACATTAAGCCTAGTGAAAATTGGGGCAAAGGATAATTCAGATTCTATAGAATTTCCTGTAAGCTCACTATTTTAATAAAATGACATAGTCTGAGATGTGTAAAAAAAATCCCTGCCCCTTCAATGTATTTAACTAATGGCACATTTTTGTTTCTTAGTTGATTTGCATCAGACGATGTGGGTATATGGATCGTATCTTCTATATGGAAGTAGGTCGTTCAGCAGTCACTGGTGGAGGTGAACTGTGGATGGAAGCTGAAGACAGCAACATAGCTCACAATATGCATGCTGCTATTATGAATGCCATGAGCAACTCTAATAGTAGCAAAGATGATGTGGATCCACGTCAAAGAAGGCGTAGTTCTTCTGCGACTGAAGCTAGCAAACCAATCTTTGTTTTGCAACGTCGCCACACTGGACAAAAGTTCAACAACTTCTCACCGTTAGGTAAGTTTTACTTTTAAAGAATCTTTGTTAGAAAATCTTCTTTACATATCTAGACACAGTATCAGTTATGGTTTCTTGCAATTTCATTTTATAATTATTGTCTGTAAAATAAATTTTCGGTTGTATAAATAGTTTATAGTCTTTGCAACACTAAAAGTTTGTTATATGTTCATTGTACTTTGTACATGGTTCTCTTCTTTCTTTTATTTTATTTGGACACTAAACATTATGTACAGAAATTCCTTTGTACAGAAATCATCCTACGCGAATTCCTTTTAGATCCATATGTAAGTTGTCCAAAATATCAATTTTTTTTATACCGGACCATAACTGCACCACACTGTATGCTTTGAAATATCAGCTGAATGTACAGTTGAAAACTTAGCTTTAGAATAACACAAATGGGTTGCGGGTATTACAGAGGAACACAGGACGCACGAGGAGCAGGTGGATCCAATACAGGAACAGGAGCAGTCTAATCAGACTCAGAGTATCCCTTCTTGCAATTCAGTCATGGGTCTGTTTTCTGTCATTGTAGTTGTATGCTTTTTATTTCTTATAAAATGTGGGCATTAAAGGATTATAAGTGTGATTATAATTTAAAAGTTTTCAACTCAAATCTGTTAAGAAACTGACAATTCGTTATTTTTATCTTATTTAATTTTTATTTTCAATAAGATAAATATATAAAAGTTCAAAGAACGAACAATTAACAATAATATTTTTTTTAACATTCAATTTTTACACAAAGATCGAATACGATACATAATTGAACAATTTTGTGGCAAAGCATACAAAATTATATCAGTTAATACTACTCATACATAAGTTTCTAGTATTGCACAATGTTTCAACACCGTGTTCGCATGACGTTGATGGACATACATATTAATGATGCCAAGTAGAACAAAAACAAATATGTATTGCATAGTTTAAGGAGGAATTCGTTCAGCTTCGTAAAATTGGTCAATAATTAATCCATTAAACAGAAACCCACGCACTTAAAAAATTCTTTATAAATTCCATAAAAATTCTTATAGTAAAATCTCGATAATTATCAGCACTATATTAAATAAAAAAAAAATACGCGAAAGGCAAAAGTAGTTGTACGACAGTGAGAGCTGTATGGTTTGCAGTCGTTGCTGGTACCGGGGCTGGGACTGCTGGGATTGCCTCGACTAATACCAACTGTGCCACTACCACTAGACGTCGTCATTCGGTAGCGAGTCATCCCCATTCCGTCAATAATTCCCAATCCGTTCATGTTACAACAAGTACAACAACAACAACTACCACCACTATTACCATCACTACGACCGCTACTGTGACCACCACAACCACAACCGCGACAATATCCCATCAGAGAACCCTGTCGCTGCCCTTAGCTGCCGTTATTATCAATCAAATGCAATCATCCAAAAGATCAGTTTTACGCTGTATGTATTTTTGTTTCGTCATACGATAAGTCAGCAAGAGATATTTTTTTTGTTTCTCTTTTAGTGTCTCTGCCTCGCTGTAACCTGTTTTTCTGTTTTCGTTTTTTCTACTTCATTCCTTACGCGCGAGGTTCGAGTTCGCAAACGAACACTCGAAAACGAAATCATTGCTGCTGTGCCATATATAATTGCGGTTTCTCACCTGAGATGATCGTGCCGCTGTGGATATGCAAGCTTCTATTTTGCATGCGATCAGTTGCACGATACTTCGTGACGAAGTAACGCTTCCTTTTGTTCCTTTCGTCGCGCAAAGCGGTTGATGGAATACCTTTGTACAGCATTCCAGTCGAGTAACGTTACATCACCTCTTTTTTCTCCCCCGTATTGCTACACTTTCCTCCTTGATTGTTTGCAGCTAAGCGTATAGATATCTTCCATTTGATTTCTCCCTCCATTTGATATCATCTCTTTGATCACTGTCCAGTTGCTTGATCTGAAATATATATGTTTGGAACAATAACCAATTGTATACATAAATATGCGTATAAATATTATACAGATTTTGATGGAAACTCATTTGAATATGCAAATGAACTAACCGCTGCTATGCTGGGAGGATGGATGCTTTTCGAACTTTGTTTCATTGCATTCTATAGTCTGTGGTAACCTGTTGAACTGACATCTTTTTAGGTGCAAACGGCCGCGACAGATGCGACAGTTTACCGTCGAGAGCTCGCACCACCAGCGAGAGTCATCCTTCATCGGTATTAAGTCATCCTAGGAGTACTCATTTTATACCTCACGTACTGAGACCGCATTCCATGTACGTGAGAGGCCTTTCTTATTCGCCACCGATCTCATCAATGCCTATTAGTCCCGCTTCTGGAGCTTGTTCCACGGACTCCGCGGGATCATCTCTTTCGATGGACGATGGTGGTGAAAATATATTAGAAGAGGGTACGGTCTCGCGATATGGACATTCTTTAACGCCAGATGAACCTGTTATTTTAGAGGAAAACGGCGATGATTACGCACCATGGTCCACGTCGCATTCGCATCATAAATATTCGCCCAATTTTAAGTCTCATTCTCCTTCCCAGGTAAGTTGTTTTCCAAATCACTCATGAACAACGGCGCCCACAAGAACACGCTAGGCTTAAATCTCTCCGCATTCTATAACTCAGGCTTACAGTGGGCGCTAGATTTGCTCATCGATGATATAAGCCTGTATTAATACTTTGATTTTAAGTAATTTGTAGTCAAAGTATTAATAGTCACAAAACGATGGAATTATAATTCGTATCATTTATTACATTTTCAGCAAAGTTCCTATATAGAAATGTGCAGTCCTTGCGGCTCGAGTCCAGGTCGTAGTGGAGTCTATATGCCAATGAGTTCTGGAACAGGACACTCGCATTCTCGAGCATCGTCTCTCGTCGAAGAATCGAGTACCTTACCAGAAGGTTATGTACCTATGGCACCTGTTGGAAACAATGGATACGTGGATATGGTTCCTTCGCATAATCACAACGGTCATTTTCCTGACGATTTGTCACATGCTGGCAGTAGTTGTTCTGTTACTTCCGGTACACCTAGCACAGACTTGCGATTTTCCGAGTATCATTTGGACAAAGTAGCGAGTTTTCTGCCACCTGGAGACGATTTACAAGCTAGACCAGCGAGAGCTTATTCCATTGGTTCTCGGCCTGAACCGATGAACAGGCATCGTAAGAATAGGTATGGGAATTTACCTAAACTCCGTATGACATTAAAGTCACGATACATAACTATGTCTTTCTCTTGTGTTGAATAGATTGGATATCGCGCAACAAGAAGCTAGCAGAGTACGAGCTTTCTCTGTTGGTAGCAGATCTAAAAAGCCTGAGATTGGGAGGTTATCGAATGTAGTTACTGCACCGTTGCCTGGTGGATATGAAAACTCGACTTCCAACAAATCAAACTCAGCACCATTACTGTCCAGTTCTTGGGGACATAATTCGGGTTGTTCCATAAATTCTGAGCGAATGGAAGACTTGATGGAATTGGATTTCACAAAGCCCAGTATTTCGACAACTTTTAATTCGCCGCCTTCGTCTTACTCGCAATCGCATTCTCAGTCACACTCATACTCTACTGCCACTGACACCAGTTCCTACGTTGATATGTCTCCAGGTCAACCACCCTCGTCGACAACTGCCCCGTACGTCGATATGAGTCGCATAAATAAGGTAGGTTTTCATGTAATTAAAATTACTGTTATTTCTCCAAAACCAATTGTATTTGGGTGCAATGATTTTTGAAAATGTCACGAGGGGAACACATGACGTTTGAACCATGGATTTAGCGTAAACTATCTTTAGGATACAATACTCGAAAAGATTGTATCCAAAGGTTTATAACATCGTACGTGTTATGCTCTCCTCGTTAACGTTAATTTAATCGAGCTGAATTTGAAATTCATCGACTATATCGTTGAAGTACTTCTGTTTATTAACTTTTGCTCGTTTCAATTATTATACTAAAATTTTTCAGATCAATCGTAATAACAATAATAATACAATCACTGCCAATCAAAATCATAGTCATATTCATATATCGTCTGCTGCTTCTACGCATAAACCAATAATTACTACTTTGAAGCCCGTGGAAGAAGCAGAAGGGCCATACATGAGAATGGATAGTGTAATGGAGGATTGGTCACAATCCGATACGAGTCCTAAACTAATTTCCTCACCTATGCAAGAAGAATGCGTGCAATCAAATGGACCACCAGGTAAAAAATTCATTTTAACCCATTAACCCAGCGAGCCTCGAGCATGGCGGCGCATCGAAATTGTCTGATCTAACATGAATATTTAAAGTTTACTGTTACGTGTAACAGCATTACTGTAGTTAATTTTCCTCATTAAGTCTATTTTGTTCAGTGTCTAATTATGAAGACTTGTCGGGTATATATAAACTTCTTTTTTTTTCTAAGAAGAACAATAAGAGTGTTTCTATGCTACTAATGTTTATAGATTTTAATTATATTTCAGGAGCCACGAGAACAGCACCAGTTGATCTTCCACGACGTCCACCTGCCGACTACGTCGACATGAACTTCAAATCGAGATCAGGTTTAGAACAAGACTATATAAACATGAACATGAGCAATCGTAACAATCGTAAAGTAGCAACGCGGACGGGTAGTCGCAAGGAGAAGTTGCGTTCCCAACCGATCGCGATCCAAGCCGGAAATAAACCTATAAAAACGCCTAGTTTCTTACCCCTAAACGGAAGTCCAGAGTCAGAAAGTTTAGCTAGTACTCCTGCGTCGCCACCGCGAGCAACTCCAACAGGTTCCTCAGCCACTATCTTCCCTTTCTCCCTAAACAGTCCCCAGTCACCTGAAAAATCCTTCACTCATCAAAAGACTAACGACGAGTCTTCAGAATTGAATGTCACTTCCAAAAGCAACGATCGTGCAGTTGTGGAACCTGCGAACAATAGAGTGAGCACAATCAGTTCCGTTTCCATAACGGAGGCGAACAATACTTTGTCGAAAGTAATCAACGATAGGCCTTCTAGTCCGGCAGACAAGGATAATCAAGTTAATCAAGTGATATCAAATTCATTGACCTCGCAAGAAAGCCCGTTGAACGCTATAACGAAGAAGTTTTCCGATTTGCACGTGTCGAAACCACGCTTGATAACCGCATCCCCGAATACCAGTCCTACGTTGTCTGGGTTCAAGCCAAGCATCGAGAGACAATCATCGTCTCCAAAAACGTCGGATGAGACGCCGACGCCTACGCCTACCGCCACACCAAGTCCGTTGGAGGAGTGCCACGACAAGGCGCAATCTGACGGCGAAGTTTTGCATTACGCTAGTCTCGATCTTCCAGAGGTCGCTAGTACGGCGCCCGTCTCTCCAGCGTCTCAAGAGGGATTCAATTACGCCGAAATCGATTTCGCCAAACTCAAGCAAAATTAAGCTACCTTGAATGCGGGTGGAACATCTGTACCGGTGTAATACGCGCGTCACGTGTCTAGAACCGCTGAATTGACTCATTGCCTTAGTTACTTTTTCTTTTCTCGGCTCGTAAGGACAACAGGGCATGATTATCGTTCTAACATTGTTCGAGCCGAAATTAATCAGTGCGTTAACTGACGAGTACGAACTGTAGATAGCAAACAGTTCTACTTTTTTAGTTTAAATTTTTTAATCATGATCCTATACTTCTGATTTTACGGAAGATTAAAAAAAATAGTGCCTATACTTCTGGTTATATCGTAACGGATATTATTTTTTATTCGCATGATAGCGATTATGGGGGAACATTGTTGTAAGTTGATGCGTATTACTGAAATCAGGGCATATTTTTTGCACGTTGCCTTTCGATGTTTTTACGTATTTGAAACGTAAATTTATTACTCTTTTTTAACTTTTTTTTTTTCTTTTTTGATGAGAATAATATCGATTGCTATAAGCTACTGAAATTTTATGTAGTTCAATATGTTTTATCTTTGAATAGTAGATTGATAAGTAAAAATTAAAAAAAAATGTTCTCGATTCGATGGAAAAGGAAAAGTATAGTATTTATTGGTTCATTTTAAATCTATTTTTAAGAGTTGAAGCGATTTATGCTAATGTTATTACTAATCATGTTAATTTTAGCAAATTCGAATCGTTTGACACGCGCAACGATAAATTACCAGAAACATGAGTACTAAGTGCGAGCAAGCAAATTGGCTTTGTTCCTTTTGCGTAGGAAAATATTAGTGCTCGACAATGTTGGATCGATGCAGAGGTCATAGGGAACTCGTATTTCAGACAGACTTACTCGCATTGAATATACGTATATATATACGTGTATGTTATCACGCTTTTCCGTATAAATCGTTAACTACCTATGAAATACTGTTTCGTACGATCCATTCGCAACACGTGTCTGTGGGTAGTTCCGTTCAACGAGAGCGAGCTTCCAAATGCTTTTGCGTAGCAGCGAAATTGATGATGTGTGACTCTACTTACTCTTCATTCTATTTTGAGAGTGGACACTTATGACTCGCGAGGTTAGCCTTTCTTAGGAAAAATGATACAGAAGGAAAAGTTTACGAACTTTTATTTGAAAGATTTCAGCTTTAGAAACTTTACGTTTCTAAAAATTTGGGAGTTTTTAAATTTGATAAATTAGAGTAATTTGATAATTACTCTGTCAAGGAATAGAACTAGCGTTTGTGAATATTATTGAATATTCTTGGTTATACGGTTAACTACTCGTATCCTAGTTATCCTAATTTTGATCGGTTTTCGCTCTCGTTTGATTGAACTATGCATCGCACGTTAACTTACTTGTTCCGTAACATACGCATACACATTCGCATTTACAGGGTAATCTGTAAAAGATACAACCGGAAAGAAAAGATAATTGGTTGTGTAAAAAATAAATATAAGTCTTAATGAAAGATGTTGTTGCTGAGGATAGAAGAGAAAATATTTCTTAAATATTACAGTGTTTTAAATGAGTTCGATTTTATGACATATTTCTCCTCGCATACAGTTTAAGGATAGTTCGGTTATAAATTATATCATATCGTGTATATACATATGCATTGTCTAAATAATGCTATAAATACATGTATATATAAATATATATGTAAATATGAATAAATAAATTGTGTATTTATTTGTTTGTATTTATTATATATTTATGTATACATAACATACATATTTACGCATATTAATGATGAATAAAGCAGTGTATATTGCTGTTCTTCATTACACAATCCTTACAAAGTAATTCCTTCGAATGCTTCTCTAAAGATTCTCGAGAAAAACGAAATGACGTGTTGATTTGTATTACTGTATAATAACGCCGTTGTAACATGTACATTTGTCCAGTTTAAGATTATCATTTGACTGATACTAGTTGAAATAAGGTTTTTTTTTTTAAATCAAAGCATACGGGATTTCTTTCTTTTCTTTTTTCTCTTTCGTTGCAGATTAACAAAATGTCCGTCCAGTTGAAATAGATCGCGCCGTAAGAACTCTTTTAGTTTACTGTTGAAAAAGGAATTCTGTTTGATTTAAGGATTAACATGTAAATATAGACTCTTTTGCAAATGAAACACTCGAGGACTTGATTATTTTATAATTGTAGATTTTTCATGATGTTTTCTCATGTTACTCCTACAGTGATCGAATAGCTCAGTGATGGGTAAATCAAGGTTAAAAAATTCAGGATTCCAAATTTTCTAATTCATCGAATGTTGGAAAATTTGGAAATTGAAAAAGTTTGAAATTTAAACCTTCATGGAAATTTAAAGATACAGAAATTTTCAGATTTTGAAATTTAAATTGGCTTTCAATGTCCATAGTTATCCATTACTGAGATAGCTCGTAGGAAAGAAATAAAAGGAAATCAAAATACGAGCTTCTTTGACTTGTGCATCTGTTGTAATGTGAAACGAGAATATTAACGTCTTATTTTTGCATTGAGAATCAGTATTTATTGTTCGCTAGGAAAACTGTTCTGAAGATCGATTTGTCAATTATAATTAGTTATTTAATTATGTATAATTTATAGTATTGTTTATTGGTAATTGAAAAGAACACTTTTCGTAAGTGTGGACTACCTTTTATTATTAGAATCTTTAATATAATTGTTTTGTTTATTTAATTTCTTGAATAATGAACGTTTACTGCCAACTTGATTGACTTATTGAATTTTATCTTTAATAATTTAAACAGGTTTTGATAACGGAGCACGCGAATCATACTGCAAAGTTTATTAACCTCGTATTTACATTGTTATCTTTATTTTTTATTTTACACGGTTATAATATACTTTCGATTCGAAAGAGTAATTAGAGAACCAAAGTTAATGATTGTACGACGTTTTCTTAAAAATAATCGACTTTTTTTTAATTTTAAAGGTCATGTTGTTAACTAATAATAAAATTAGGAAATATTGAACGACGATTCTTTAATTTTTACATATATGTTACAAAAAGTGTGTAAATCGAGAAAGGTAATGTTGGCTTATATGTACATATAATATTTAACTATAATACTTAATAATAAGTATTTTATTGGCAAACTAAATACTTGTTTTAATATTAAATAATTTAAATTACCCATTCAGATACATGTATCATTTTCCCATTAGAATATACTGTGAACATTTTTTTTACACCAATCAGATTTTTATGCGTTTGAAAAAAAATTTCAAAATTAAATTGATAAAATATTCGGGAACTAACGACCTCGTGTGGCGAAATTTAGAAACTGGCAAAATTGATTTTACCAATTTTAAGAGGAAGAAAAATTTTTCTTTCTAAAGTACTCATTGTATAATTACACACGGAGCCTAATTTTGCAGTTGAACTTTTCAAACTTTATAAAAATACATTTTTAATTTCTTAGAAGGAATACTAAATTGCTCTATGCAATTCTGTATGATTACAGAGAGAATATTTTAAAGAAGGAAGCTTAAGAAAATATTGCTCCTTTGTGTGAAAACTTTTAAACAGCAAAATTCTGACTTTTTTCGCAGGAGAAACAAGGGTTGCAAATCTTTCATCGGAGTTTCTGAGCCTCTCCGCATGAGGTCACTAACTCCACTTACGTTTTAGACTTCTTTACGTAAAATCATCTGAGCTAATAAAAAACTTCTCATTATTTAAATGAATGCACTTTTCTAATGCATTACTTGAAAAACATTTTAAATGACTGAGTAAGTATTGTAACTTATTTTCAGCTATTTTTAAATCTTAACTCTGTTTTAATCTTCAAATATATCTAAGTATTTTCTTGGACGAATTCAGATCGATGTTGAAATAGAAGTAGTCTTTATATCAAATTTAGTTGAACTGCATTTCCAGAATTTCTTTTAAATTTAACTATTTTTATAATTTAAATAGAAGTAGTCTTTATATAAAATTTAGGTGAACTGCTTCTCCTGAATATTTTTTAAATTGAACTATTTTTATAATTCAAATAGAAGTAGCCTTTAAGTCAAATTTAGTTAAACTACTTCTCCTGAATTTTTTTAAAATTAAACTATTTTTATAATTCATATCGAAGTAGACTTTACATTAAGCTTAGTTGAACTGCGTCTCCTGAATTTTTTTTAAATTGAACTATTTTTATAATTCATATAGAAGTAGCCTTTATATCAAAATTAGTTGAACTGCTTCTTAGTTGAATTTTTTTTAATATAACTACTTTTATAATTGAAATTGTCAAGCTCTTTCTCAGATACTTAATTCTTCCTCGCTTCATTTTCGTGTCCTTATTCTCCTCTCCACCCTTCATAGTATTTCGAAAGTCGCATAATCCAAGCATACGCTGTTCAAACAAGACTCGTGAAAAGTCACGATAAACTCTGTTCGGACCAGTTTCGTGAAAGTCGAGCGGATTACGTGCCAGCAGAGCGAATAGAGGGATGAACATGCGTGTTTACAGAAACTGTTAGGAATTGTATGCGTTTGAAGTAGCCTCCCTACGGCGTTTCCCTTATTTGCACCAAATTGGCCCGGCCTCGTCGTCACGGACGCGTCAAGGTACTTAACTGCAGGTAAACATACCCTAAATCATGAGCCGGGATGAGGGCAAAGAGGAAACGGGCTTGACCTTACTCCTCGTAAAATTGCACCGTATCGCGAGCATCCATTGTTGCACCCTTCTTGTATAGATGGCCGCTTCTGTAACAAGCGCGTCCTTTGTACCGTTTGTAGCGTGCTCTTGTTACAGCACAGGTATACAGGCATCGCTTCCTAAATCGCGAGCAATTCGAAACGTTTTTCCTTCCTTTTGCCAGTCTTTTACGATTGCCGTTTAATTGGCAAGTTTGAACCTCTGGACGGTTCTAACAGCTGATCTTTATCTTCATAATTTTATTTTAGGTAAAACTTTTGGTGATTTACTGTATTAATCCTTTGCACTGTTATGACGAGTCGAATGACGTACTTCGTGATCAATTTTAGTAAGCAAAATTTAGATACTAATTTCAAATGTTCTTATTTTATGCTGATATTAGAAGAATACTGATTTTATAATGATAGAAACAGTGAAAGAAGTTGTACATATAAAATGGTATAATAATTCAGTAAATGTACACACATAAATACTTGTGAATATAAACTACATTATCCAGTAACAAAATCAATAAATACATGTTACATTTAACGAGAAGTACTCACTCACAGAACCACGTACATCCACTTTCGAAATCCATATCATTTTCTAAATTATTTCCCATTCCAAAACACTTTAGTATAATCTTAAATAACAGAAGATGGAAACCGCAGCAATGGTAGCGTTTCTCCTTGAAAACATCTGAATCGATCTTTACTCCCCTCATGTAGGTATCTATGGAAGCCCGGCCACTGGCGTCGCGACGCCTATCCGAGCTCCACCCACGCATCTCGTACATGCGCAGCGAAAATTCAGGGGGTTGAAGCGTGAACGAAACCCTCGTAAAACAGGACCGCTCCTTAATCAGCTCGACGGCAATCTGCTTGTCCACATTTTGGGGGATGAGGGTAGTAACGTGTTCTCGTAAATGAGAGACGTCGAATTGCTTCGAGCCCTTCGACGATAAAGGTGAACGAGAATACAGACTTTAATCAGAAATATTCTACGTATAAAATAAAACGTAGCTATATACGTGATGTAGAGGGTTGTACAAAATATGTAGTCTTACGTTGTCTTAATTTAGGAAGGTTTAGGTGAATGTGGAGGTGGTACATTACTGTTTGGTTAGGTAGACTGAGAGATTTTTGAGAGATTGAGAGACTGAGAGATTTTTGAGAGATCAGGAGACTGAGAGATTTTTTATCGTTGCTGTAGAAGTGGTTATATGTAGAGATACTTGTACAGGGTGTAGAAGTGTTGCAAAGATTTAAAATCACATTTAAGAAGTCACAAATCGAAATAGATGGAAATGTAGGTGTCAGGAAATTGAGATGAAGGTTCAGAAAATTTAGGAACTTTAAACATGTAGCAATTTAGAAATTTGAGACTCTACAAACTTGTCAATATAAAGTTTTAGAAGGTTCAAATTTTGCAAACATGTCTATTTAACAATTTGGAATGTCTGAAATTTAGAACTCAATGTCGAGTTCACAAAATATAACGTGGCTCATCGTACCTTTAATCTCAGTTCCCAAAAAGAAAACGCAGAAATGTGTAAGCGGGAAAGAAGTCGAAAGGGTAGGAGAAGAGATAGCGGAGGCAGAGGCACACCGGATTTCTCTGATCTCAGCGATTCCATCATCAACGACTCCGGGACCCAGGATGGCAGATAAAAGGCAATTGAATTTAAATCATGAATACGAACGAAGCGAGCGAGAAGAAGAGTCCAGAGTCAAAGGAGAGACGAGGAGGAACAACGTAAGCCCCGACGGCAATCTGGTGGTAGCTTTGTGACGGTAATGGCTTCAACCCCTGGCCTCCAACCCTCGAGGGCCTGCACCCCTTCTTGTTTACCGGTGAACACGCGACTCACACGCGCGCAACTCTCTCGTCCAAGTCGATTTACCTATGCGTCCAAGCCGTTCACCTTTGGACCTTTCCAGCCAGTAGGGAAACTGCGATCCCGGTTCTAGCCTTGATT